TTGTCTGGCGTGTTACTTGCGTTTTGATTATTCTTCTTCTCTTTATTTTCACGTTTCTTCATGATGATTACATACAACAATCATCTGTAAGTATCAATTTTAATGTTAAACATCAAAAAGACGATATGACATCGAGTGTTCTACGAAACTGTGAATTGCTGTATACAACATGATGATAAGAATGGACAGTACACGTCTTATCAAATAAAACGTGCACTTTGTTAAGTAAATTGTTATCTAAGAAACCGCGTGTTTATCAGTGTCAATTATTAAGTAGCAATTTGTGTCACAAAGTCAAGTTGCCTCGTCGCGTGGCAATTTATGAAAATTTATGATAATTTTTTAAGACAAAGATACAGTGAGATCAAGTATATACATCCACGTTCATCTTTGCTCCGAGATGTTTGTGTGTATGTGTGCGCATGAAAACGATTACACACGGCATTCCAGTGCGTACAAAAGATGCGTATACTTGAGAGTGAGTGCGATCGTATTTTAAACTTAGATATGCATTTCTTTTCAACCTTTTAATTATCACACATTTAAATTAAAATTAAAATACGGAATATTTGTTGTTTTTGCACATTCAAATACATACACACGTAAATCGTAAATATTACTTAAAATTTTGTAAATAAAATTTTATAAATAAAAATGTACAAAATAATATTTTAAAATAACACAAGAGAACGTAAAAACAAACTGTAAAACAAAAATTAATTATGTTCTTTTCTTGTGAACGTAAAATTAGCGGAAGTTTCTTTATCATAAATTGTTATTTATCCTATAATGATTACGTATCAACTATTTATTATATGTTACAGAGCTATGATTCATGCTACTTGTTACAAGTTAGATCGTAATTATTAGGGAAACTTGTAACTCTTGCAAGTATCTATAGCTGCTCGCATTAACTGCTATACATGCAACTAAAAGCTAATTTGTTTGTCTTGTGGCATTAAACAGCTTTAATAATTTCTCGTTTCTATCTCTATTGATTTTATTCGTCAATAGAAAATTTACGGAAATGGACGAAGTTGTGAATAGAGAGATTCTAGATTACAATGCACGATATCGTGCCGAGTGAATTGCAAGAAGAAGTAGCAGAATCGTTATCGACAAAGAACAATCTTTATCAGAGCGCACACTATCGTTTCTCTGTACAATAATCCATTCCTTTTTCTCGTTCCTTTTCTTCCGCTTCGTCTTTTCAATGATTGGCCAGTTACCAAAATTTCGCTGTATTGTCCAACAACAAATAATACAAACACAACAAAGTCAAACAAGCTTTGACAAAATGAGGTAAATGGTAACAGGTCTTTTGAACTTTATAGTAAAACTAACATCGATTGTAATTGAATCTAACACGTATATAGATTATTTCGCGTGTTTTATCAATATTTTTACAATTAAAAAAAAAGTACATATTGATAGAAGCAACTGATGTTTTCTTTCAGTTTTTATAAACGTTCAACATCGCGTATTTTAATTGTCATGAAAAATAAAAGCCTGATATATAAAAATTGTTTATTCATTATGAATTGTTAAGAAGAAATTGTATTATCCAGCATTCTTCTATAATGATTAGAAAAATAAAAATTATTATTTTAAAGATATTAAAACTATAGCAAACAAAGATTGATTTGGATTCACTGCTGTCAATAGTTGCATAATTGCTCGTCCTATAATTAAATGGGTTCAGTATGTTACGTCACAAAAGTTGGTCACCACAACAGCGTAACGTGTCCGATATTCCATTTCAGAAGTCGCCTGTCGAACACCCAGTTAGAAAAGTTGGCTCGGTCATTATTCCTATTTGAGCGCGTATATCGGTCGACTCTGTCCGTTATCGAAAACGATGCGTACGTAAATGAGAACTAGTTGATTTCACGTCATAACACGCGCGCTGCATCAAGACAGAGGAACGAATACACAATTCTCTGATTTCCGTCTAAATTCATGTTCCGGTTACGTGGCAATTCCACGCAACAGAAAGTGACATGAAACACGACTGTCCACGCGCAACAAAATATGCAGATTCAAGCTTGCGGTCAGTGAACGAGGAAATTGCAACGACGAGGCTGTTATCGGCAAAGGACAGCCCGGAGCTCGATCATTTCTGTAAAGAGCGATATGTCCGACAAGCCCTCATTCTCGGCGCATCCCTTGGTCGGATCATTCTATTGTGCGCGCAGGTACGAAAGTTTAATCTCTCTGCCGTTGCTTTCACGCATCCCTCCGTCTAAGCTGTGCTAGCCAAGTTTCATGACACCATCAATATTACATCTCCACTTGCCAAATATTTGGTCAGTTATAATTGAGAAGTCGAGTTTAGAAACGAGTACAGCACTTGACTTTGTGACCTCGTCGACTTCAAGCTAAATAGCGATCTTTCATATTTATCCGTAAAATAACTCTACCACAAGTGTACTTCCGTAATCAAATTAGCGACACACGTACCGAAAGTCCTCGAGATTAATTAGATTTATTAATTTTAATATTTATTTAAATTTTTTATCAATTTTTTATAAAGAAGATAAACAGTTACATAATTTCTATAGGATATAATTAAAACTTTTTGATAAAGCAAATGTTTATGTGAAACTATCTCTTTTTTTTGACTGCGGTTGTAATTATAATGTGTGTTGTTATATGTTATTAGACTTACTGCGTTACGTCGAATACTCTTGACAAGTGTATCTGTTATCCTCGAATCACTGTCGATCTCAAGCAGCTCGTTCGTCTCTTACAACTTTTTTACGGAGTGTGGACTCTCAGTTACGTGACATACGCAACACAACTGCCAGCACCGGTTTGCTGCTTTTCGCGTCTACTTTGCTGCTAGGTTTGCTGCAATATAAGGCTTCTCGGCTTAGTAAGCTTATTACAAGATTTCGTGACAGTGCCGAGGGTTCTCCAAAACTCGCGCGTGACGGTGTTGCAAACTGTCTAGTAGTAAATTCAATACTACGCAACTTCTCCTATACGCAATATTACGCGTAATCTCGCGAGTGAATTTCGAGTATATTAATTTTACAAAACTCGCATTAGATATCTTAATAAAAAATGTTCTACATTTATTCATATCTCTCTTGTGAATTTAAACATAATATCTCTATGTAAACTATTATAAATTATTTTACAATCAAATGCACAATCTGATAATTACTATCGGCTTCATAAATTATCGATAAATGGTATAAAATTGGACGTTGTCAAAGTTCCAAGTAGATCGCACGTAGCACTTCCGACTTGGTGCTCCGTGAAAAAACATAATTAATCACGCGTTTTGTCTAAAATCACAGAAGCAGAAGAAATACGCGGTTCCTACATTCAAGTAGAATAAAGTATATAAACAATTGCAAAGTGCTAACAACAATGCGAGAAAACGTTCGCATCACCGATCATTTTCTTCTGATGACAGAAAGTTACCCGGATACTGGCGTAAACATAATTTCCTGTCGAAGAGATATCGGAAAGAGATTTCTTTAGAAATGTATTGTGAAAACAAATGTCTGCGCTTATGCGAAAGGAAAGAAGAGCATAAAGATGTGCACACTGAGTGAGAGAATTTATTGTGACTTTGTATGCATATGTATTTTATGTAAGAAAATGTTATATATGTATGTATGTATGTGTGTGTGTGTGTGTGTGTGTATTTCTTTGTCTCTACATTTCTTTCTTTAGAAAACATTTTAAAGAAATAGTAATCGCACACCAACTCGTAATTACTAATTATTTGTCGTTTGTACAGTAAAGACTATACCAGCGAAGCAAAACTAAACATAATGCAAATGCAACGAGAATTCGTCGTTAATGTTTTACGTCTGAAATAAGAACTACTACCACTGTGTCCATAAGAGCCTCCAGGGAGTTGCTTATTCTTGGCGAAGAGATTGACTCGTAACACGGTTATCCGCTTCTTCGTTTCGTCGATAATGCCAAAGGATCATAGATGCATTTCCGACTGACAGCAACGAGCAAGAGAGTCGGCACGCAGAATGCAATTTTCTTTGAAAATATTATCCGTGTCGTCACAGACTACTGATATCTGCCGATATACAAAGTTTAAAAGTGATCTCCCTTTATGCAATTGTGTTTTTTTTTCTAGAAATGTATTTTTAAAACAATCTAATAAACCTATCGCTCCTGCAACTATTATGCGATTTCTTAATATTTCCAGATGTCCAAACAGATACGAACGTTCATTGTCCTATTTTCTCTGATTATTTGTAAGCGCGTAAAGAGCGACGCAAAAAGAAAATGCGGCTCTACTTTGTCAAAGTAAAAGAATGCAGCGTGAGACTATTTTTGTTACTGCCCTCTGGAAAGACTCGACCGGGATTCTAGGAGATGTCGGGGACCATTTCTTCGCGTCCCCTCCGGCTTTCGTAACGCGCTCTCTTCTGCCACTTATGGCGAAGAAAACTCTTGATCAGAAGTTTCCTTATCGGTTAAAAGGCGTCGTTTCGTAGAGAGGAATTTCTAGGTTACTTCTTGTAAGTATCTCTCGTTTAATGCGATACGGAATTTCCAAATAATATTCCGCATAATGTAAGCAGGAAGTTTGACTATCATTTGGCGATATTATAGTTTCAAAAATTGTTCTCCTTATTTGTCCGAGCATCGTCAATAGTTTCGGTAAAATTCCTCGTAATTACATTTTGTCATCGGCGCAAACTTTATCACTGCTTCCTTAAAGAGTTTTACGTCAATGTAAGTGTTTAGACACTTTCTTAACAGTCACTAGTCTTTTATCTTGATCGATATTAAAAGAAGAAGAGAGTCATCAGATTTGATAAGAGCGAATAAAACTACAATTTATAATTTGTTTGATTACAAACATCGGGAGGAAAAAATAAATAAATTTCAAATTTCTTTTTATTTCTCCAAACAAGATTTTTTATGTGTGCTTACATTTTATATTTATAATGTTACATTAATATAAATTGTATTTCAGATAATAAATCTTTGTTCTTTCAAAAAATAAATAAATACGCATTAGGAAGAAAAAAAGAAAACTTATATTTTACAATAAAAGAATTCAATTCGTTGTTATAATTTTTTTTAAAGTAAACACGTTTTTATCAAGTTGATTAAATCAGCTTTTGTTCATTATACAAAGAAAGTTTGGAAACAAACGTTGTGCATGTGTATTAAGTAATCAAAATAAAATTATCTCAAATAAGACAAATGATTATTGTCATATATGTACGTAATGAGTAGTATAATATTATATATAACGTACTCCGAAAAGAGGTATAACCTTACTAGATGATAAGGCAGTTACGCGAACCGTAAAAGTGAATGAAATAGATCCCAAATCGTCTGAATCAGCACATATCACTGCGTAATTGTTGTCACTCACTACTTTAACATAATGAAATGTTCGATCTATAAAGACAAATAATTACGCAAAATATATGATTCCATCTTACTGAAAAAATGCTACTCAATACAATTATGTAATAGTTTTAATATTATATTTTATTGCTAATAAACTACTACTTTCTAGGAAGTGAACACGCATTATAAATGTATATGTTTTTATTCTTCTAATAAGAAGTGAACGTCAAATAAAAGTAATGTAAAAAGAAACAACTCACCTTTGTTAGTAAATGTGTATGTTAATTTCAGCGTTGCAACTCCGGTTAGGTCGTTCTGTATAGTATAAGGCGTACCATAAAAATAAATTAAATCGTTCTGTGGTGCTCCAACTTCGATATTTCCAATCCAATCATTCTGGTGTGAATTTATTTCCAAATTTTGCTAAATATATACAGCAAAACATATAAATGTTTTTTAGCTATTTCAATTTTCCCAAAAAACAAAAACGAAACAAAACATCGGTTAATGTATATAACTTATATATTTTGAAAAAAAGAACAAGTCAAGCATTTTGTATCTTGTTATTTATGTGAGAATTAGTTGTAATTTTTCTATAAAATTTCAAAATATAGCACTTAATAAAACAATATAAATACTCAATCATGACTCACCACCTCCGATTTTGGTACGATATGTTCGTCAGTGAGCACAAAAGTCTTGGAATCGCTCACAGGAATAGCAAAAGTCGTTTGGAAAAGAGAGACTATCAAGATAGCAAATGACACGAAGATTGAACGGAACATTTTGATACGTTTGATCAGGTTAAGCTTATTGTCCCTTTTATATAAACTACTTCGAGTGTTTCTCCAAGAAGAATATCTTATCTATTAAAGTTCTTTTGATTTCTACGGTGTGATTAAAATTATCAATACGCGAGTTTCCACGACTTTAAGATGTGATAAATATATGTTGCGATATTATATAAGAGCAACAAAATTTAGCAAAATTATATCTAATTTTATCATTGTTTTAAACATATAAAAGAACCAACTATTATGTATAAAAAAACCAACAATTATAGCTTGTATAATTGAAACATAGCGTATAGAATTCAATCTATTGTAAACAGATCCACCGCAAGACCTTTGTCAGCGATTCAAAATTCATCACAAACTGTTAATCAATCAAGTAGCCTCAGACGGCTGGCTAGCAGATTCTGTTTGCAAGACAAACCGATATCTCGCCAATACGCTCGCTTACAGCACACGTTCAATTATTCATGAAATTGTCAGCGGACGTCACGCCTCGTACGTCTCAAAATCATACTTCATTCCAAGACTTCGTTCGAGTTTGAAAGTATTGGAGAATCATGTGTGCGACGAGATTTCCTAGTTGCTAAAGTTGCTATCTTTGAGTCTTCATTATTTAGTAATAAAAAAATGTACAGTTACAAGAATGATACATTTTAAAGTACAAAAATTGTGTTTTATGAGATGATAAGATGAGAATTTAAAACTTGTTTGCAAGAAACAACGAATTGTTTAACAATAATCATTTTCAAGAGTAATTTCATTTTGACGTTATAGCAAAATTTTGGGATCAAAATTTAAACTGAGTGAAATTCAGCGCATTAAAATCTATAAAAATTTTCTTTCTTCATTAAAATGAAAAAAAAAATTGTGTTGTCCTAAGTCTAATTGAAAAAATCATATTAACATGTAGTAAAAGATCTATATTTTTAGTTTATCAGGAAAAAAAACTTATTCACAAAGTGAAGTTATTTGAGAACGTGCGAACAATTTTAATGACAGTATTTTTTCATGACTGTGAATTCATATAGATACTCTTGACGCGCGTGCAAACACAACTAATTAGAAACACATTATTGCCATCTCCGCCTCACGAGAGAATAATTAATTACGCATTCACAACAGAAGACTGCCTGTAAGAATTCTACGAGACTACTGCGAAAACTACCGTTAATAAATCCAGACTAATTAGTTAGCGAAGAGAACCGAAGGCAGTCGTATGTACACCGTTCGAGTCGAGTTTATAAAAGTACATTGTGTAACTGAGAGATATCGATTAACATGTTTTTCACAATTCACCTCTGCGTTTTTTTTTCAATTATACACGTTATTTTAATGCATAGGTATTTTACTTGTTATATAGATATATGTAAATATAAAATAAATTATTCTCATTCCAGTATTACAAAAGGATTAATATGCATCTTGAGTTGATCGTTAAGTTGAGCTTCTGCACATATCGCTTTTGTTACTCCTTAATCATGGCTGCGAATCACGCCAGAAGTTTCCGTCTGAGCAATTAAAACAGATTTACTGCAGAACTACGGCAAGAAAGTCTGTCTGCCAACAACAATGCGCCGCAAAAAGAGATGCGTCTTGTATATCGTCATATTGAATTGAACTGAAAAATAACAAATAAAAAATTAATGTTGGAATATTTGTTGCTGAAACAAATAAACTTAGTTTTTGAAAGCAGTTATAGGGTTTGAAAGCAGAAGCAATTTGTAGAAGTATTCGTGCTGAATTACTTTGCAAAACATAAGCTATTTGCATATTCAAGCATCTACTCACATACAGCGAGTTTAAAATGTCATCAGCATTGTTCCGCTATTTGTTCCAACGCGCGTCTCGAACATACGTGCACATGTCAAGAATATAAATTTAGAAAATTTAACCGACATCATAAAATTCACAATTCAAGATAATATCCAGATTTTTTAGAACCGATATAATTATATACGTAGCAATATAAATTTACAAACAAATTATTAGACTTCAAGATATTCTTTTCAGTTTATTGAATAAATAATCGTTTTAAACGTTTTAACTAAAAGAAAAAATGGTATATTTATAAATTTTTGTTCTATATTTATCTATTTTTATTGGCAACTATTTAATGTCCAAATTTTGTATAATTAAAAATTTATTAATTAAGTCAGAGAGGAAATCAATACACACACACACACACGCGCTCTCTCTCTCTCTCTCTCTCTCTCTCTCTCTCTCTCTCTCTCTCTCTCTCTCTCTGAGATCGTTTGTCGTTCTAAAAGTGACGATTTAATCAAATTTATGGTAGCACCGAGCTTGAAGTGTTGAAAGGTCGATATATTAAATTAATTTTTTCAAGTAGCAATATCGCTGTTAACTTTGTTAGCGGCGGCTCCGGCGGCCGAAACGATCGATAATTAATCGCATTTAATTTCATACATCCGCATATATTCCGAACATTTTACTACGCGAGCGCGATCGATCGCGATCAATTGTACACGTGACTCGATCGTCACTACCATGCGCTCGCTGGATAACCCGCGGAATGTCGAGGGATGAGATCAGGAACGGGCGGGGGCGCAACAGTTGCGTGGGTGGCTGCGCGTCTAGAATAGATCGGAGGGATGGTAGTAGCGCGGGGACTGGAAGAGAGACACACGTAGAAGGGGGTTGAAACCCGGCGCCCAGCGATGTGACGTGCTTCAGTATTCATCTAGCATTCACGTTGCGAGCAACTCTGGTCGCAAAATTTCGTGAGAGAAATCGTGTCAGCCGAGAGAAACCAACGCGCGAGAATTACATCAATTGCTTGTTGCGATTAATTAATTTTGATTAAATTTTACTTTGATAGATTTTTCTCATCGCGTCTCATTTCAATTTGCACGTTTGTATTACGAAGAAAAAGCAACCAGTTCACCAAAGTGCAAGTAGTGGTGACCGATGATGATCAAAGATATAGAAAACTATTTCGGAATTTCAACATATTGAGGTATTTCTACGTTTCGCGAATATAGCAATTGCAATTCAGCAATTTGCAAACCGCCATCGGCGATACCACGTGGAACTTCGCAATTGAGATCTTTGATCAAATTAGACTGTATGTTATAACGAAAGAACGCTGATCTTCATTGCGCGTGTGCACTTCTTTAAAACTTTTTGTAAACTTTTCTAAAACATTAGATAAACTTTAGTATCTGATAATTATATGTATGTATATTTTGTATAATATAATAATCTCATCTAAATAAATTGCAAACTTTTGTTAATTGTAATAACCAAAGTTTTCTGAAAAGTTCAGAGTTTAACCGTATAAGTATACTTACTGCATGCGAAAATACAAAATAACTCGGAAGCAATACATATTGAAGAAATATTATACAAATATTCATAACATTTTCGTAATATCAGACAGTCGACATACTCCTACGCAATGTTTACTGTGAGAGCGAGATAGATTGCGGAAATCATAGATGACTCGCGAAAATATGTGATGCCATAGAAAATATTTTAAAAAATATAGAAATCTACGAAAACGTATTTTTCTCTTTTAACAAAAATTATCAGTAAAATTGTAAGTTTTTACGTTGAGCAAATACTATTAAAACTCACACTTTTTATTTATATACAATTTCTTTTATCACACTCACAGTAAAATTTTGTATAACAAATATATAATATGTTAAATTTTCGAGAACTGGTTGCACGTTAAAACGGGAGACTAATTTTGACGTGTGAATTCGTTGGCTGGAAATGCCCGTATTTCCGACATAGTTGTTATTTAAATGTTGCTGAGTATACGCATGACGAAATGAAAGAGAAGCTAATTAATTAAATAAAATAAGCAATTAGACTCTTTGTGCATAGAGCAATGAAAAACTGAATTAAAAGTTTTATTATAGCGTATTGCAAATAAACTGTTTAGCGAGAAACGCTTGGCTTGCATAAAATAACTCTTTCTTTATCACGCATAATTATGTGATATTTTTATATAAATACGTATTACATTTATATACGCAAATTGTTTCCTATACTTAACAAATGTACTAACTTCTAGAAACATAAAAAGAGCTTTTCTGTCTCTAAAAAAAATTGACCTATAAATATCGTGGTGTAAATTGCAACCTGACAAGAGAGATATCTGTTAACAAACTCCGGAAGCTCTTCGTTTGCGGTTTCATCATAAAAGATGATCCTCATTAAATTTAAGAAGTCAAATGCGCGTCAATGCTGTAATGAAGCCCAAGTAGAAAGATTTTCTTTTATCACATTTCATGTGTTTTATATATTTCAGCTTTAAACATCATATTTACTAATAATTTTACTTAATCTTTGCTGGCATAATGTATTTAAAAAAAATTCTGTAACCTATATAAACTTTCTTTTTATATTAAAAAAAATCTTTTGATGCAACACTGCAAACTATTATAAAAATTAAAATTGCAAATCTAAAAGAAATGATACAAAAACAACTTTCGTTTTTCTTCTTGAAGTTATCTTTTTTTGGATAAAAAAAGATTAAGAGCAAAAATGATTAAATGTTATAAGAGAAATTAATGCTGTTGATAATTAGACTTATTTCAGTACTCGATAAGATAATGTTTTTTCAAATTAATTAGACATAGCGTTTATCTTTTATTTGTTACATAATTATTGTATGACTTTTATTACTTTTTACTTAGAAAGTTAAATAAAATCTGATTAAAGGATGTTTTTTAACAGTTTTGATTTTCAGAAACAATTTTTCCGAGTGAAATGGTGTAACCATTTTTCTGACACGCGTCGCCTTCATAGACGGTTCTTTCATAAATCACAGCATTTCCGTAGGGAACGATTACTATGAAAGCGGATTCGCCCGTGATACCTCTTCCTATTCACTCAGCACGATTGTCATCAGACAACATCATAACACACATATTTTCTTCCATTATGCAAAATGCAAAAATATCGACGTACTATACACCATGCTTCAGCAATGTTTTTTTTCTCTGTCTACTGTGGACATATTTACACAAGAAAAAACTGAGTGAAGAAATGA